CTGAAAGATATCTATAGTAACATATTTTGCTAACATTGCATTAACCTAGGCAGATAAATCACTTTCTGAAACCGAAGAGCCCCAGTTGTGGGTCTGGGAAGCAAAGATTCCCTTAGTGGGTCACTAGGTGGAACAGTGAGTGGAGCCATCCCCATTTCAACGCCCTGATTTTCCTGCCCTTGAACCTGACCTATGGGAGACACAGGACTACATATTAGTCACTGACTTGGAAGAGAACCTGTTGCTGGGACTCTCCTACTTAGAGGTCCCTTGATATGGGTGCTACCTCCTTCCACTGGCCCCTTATGATGCCCTCTTAGCTTCAGTGGCTTCCGGCAGGCTTTCCCTCCCTGGGGTCACCCTTCCAGGCAGCCCCCTTGGGCAGTCCACATCTGGCCCTTGGAAAACGTGCAAACCTCCATGTTCTGCTAAGCTCCACAGGTGCAGCTCGCTCCCAAGATAGTTCTCAAGACTATCCAGGACTGCAAGCCAACCACAGCCACTCGCCTTCTGATTGTATTCAGGCTGAGTTTCCCTGTCCCCTGTCTTCCAATCAATTCAAGTCAAGCTTTTGGAGTTCTTTTCTGCAATTCCCCTCATAAATGGGTTATAGTAAGAAAGAACCAACATCTAAACCTTGCCTTTGGCTAAGGGAGGAGGAAGAAGCAATTTCAGACAGATCTGCATTATCGCCTGCTTTCAACCTGAATCCTTGGACCTATCCTACACAGTCTAGAGGTGGGCAATGGACTGTTATTGACCATTCCTTTTACAAACCTGTAGAAATAGTCTAGTATCTTGATTTAATATGTGGGAATAGCTGAGAATAGGTGAAACCTATCTTTCTTTTCCTGACCTTTGGGGCCTCTCTCCAAACTTTGAGATGGGAAGACTCCCATTTAATATCCTGTCAACTATATAGAGTCCAGCATGGAGCTCGACACATGGTAGGCACTCGCTAATGGAAGTGATGGTGTTACTGCCCGTCACCTAGCACGTAGGTCAATCCAGCCTTTGGAAATGGTAGGACCCCTCCTCCCCTAAGCCAGAGTGAAGGGGAGTTTGTAACCTCATTTGAGGCTTGAAAGGCTGTTGCCTCATCCTCCCTATGCCCAGTCTACGTGTCTATTCCAAATACAGTGTTTACAGCCATCTGAGTCCATCCAGCTTCTGTGCCCGTGCACATACCCAGGCCCACACGCAGGGACAAATCACAAGCCCAAGGAAGTCAGGAAGCAGCAGCTGCTCACACCCGGGGAAGAGAGGAATGAGCCTTTCTTCCCTGACCTGGAGTCCTTCTCAGCCACAGCAGGTGGGTGGGAACATGCCAGGTTTTGTGCAGCCCACGTGCCCTGGTCTGACGTACAGGCTGGCATCTGCTTTGATTAGTCAGTCCCTGCACTGAGCTACTTATATATTATTAATGTCAGCCTTGCTCATGGGCACGGAGATACTCAAACCCACCAAGGCTCAGAAACGCCAACAGCATATGAGCGTGCACAACGACCTCTCCACACTCAGGTGCGCAGGCAGCTACTTTAAGTTTAAAAGTAGCAGTTGTATGAACTTGGGAAATACCAACTGAACGGATCTGGGGTGTGACAGCATATTAGGGAGGCACTCATCTGCTTCAAGTCTTTCACTTGGCCTGTGTCTTCACGCCTTCGCTTCTTTGGTTGTTAGAGCTCACAAACAGCATCGGAAGGGATGAAAGGAGATACAGGCACAGCCTCAGGAAAAACAATCCCAAACTGAGAAACACAACAGAGTCATCATTTTCCAGTCTGTAAGGATGTACTGAGAAAGATTCGATTAAAATGCGAGGGCAGGGATTGGCAAAAGTTTTCTACAAAGCGTCCAGTAGTAAATATTTTAGGCCTGTGGGCCGTATGCTCTCTTTGCAATGAGTCAGCTCTGCTGTTGTGACAGGAAGGAGTCATAGAGAATAATAAACAGATGAGCACAGTTACATTCTCAATAAAAGTTTATTTACAAAGTCATGGGCCAGATTTGGTCCATGGCCTTAGTTTGCAGACTCCCACACTAGGGTCTAAAGAACCCGGAAGCCATTGAGACTGGCTTCACAGGTCTTCCAGAGGTTGCTGGGGGCTCTAGTCTGTCTCCTGCAAAAAGGACAAAAATCAACCGCTTTGGATGTGGCATCAATTTTCTAATTATTTTGTGCTATGCTTGTGTTTCGATGTTCTGAATGAGTGGTCTCAATCTCTTCTTTTTGTCCCCACTTCCCTCTTTCTGTGTATATATCTCTAAACCCTTGCCATTCTTTGTTCTGTCCCCTGGCACTCACAGCTGGGTAATTTGGGAATGAGACTCTCACATCCATCCTTGCTAAAATTCTGGCTTCTTTTCTGCCTCCTCATCTGCAGTGGAGGAAAGAGGCAACGTGCAGTTGTGCAAAGAGTGCTTGTCTGGATCACTGGGCAGGACGAACCACTAGCTTGCTGTGTGACTTTGAGCAAATCACCGAGCCTCTCTGAGCCTCCCTCTCCTGTCTGTCTAATGAGGGAGTTGGCTAACCGATCTCTAACATTCCCTCTAGCTCTAAGCGTGTGATTTTAGGAAATTGCAGCCTCCACTGTAGGCAATTGCCTGGGGCCATTAATTAGGATGTCACTCACAGACTAATGAAAACTGCCAGGAGGTCATGGAAATTAGCTGCATGATCTCCTGTAGCTGGCAACCTTCCTAAGGAGGGGGTTGGGGACACAGGCTAACTCTGGGGAATCTGAGATCCCATCCCACTAAGGCAAGAAGGGGAAGACAGAAGACTCCAGGATGCCTGTGCTCCAGGAAAATGTATTTGCATTCCTAAACTGCCACTGAAGTAGCTATAAAATGTGCACACATATTGACTTAGTTGGAAGCAGGACCCTAGGGAGCTACTGTGGGGAGATGGGGTGCTTTCCCTTCTCCACCAGACCCTCCTGGGTGGGGCTCACTCTCCTGGCCACGCAAAGGACATCCCTCAAAGCCCACCAGATAAATATCTGGATAGGTCCGGAGGAAATGGAGGCTTTGAGAGGATAAAAAATGAATTAGCATCCCTGGCTGGTGTGGCTCAGTGGATTGAGCACCAGCCTGTGAACCAAAGGGTTGTAGGTTTGATTCCCAGTCAGAGCACATGCCTAGGTTGTGGGCCAGGCCCCCAGGATGGGGCATGCAAGAGGTAACCACACATTGATGTTTCTCTCCCTCTCTTTCTCCTTCTCTTCCCCTCTCTCTAAATAAATAAACAGTCTTTTAAATAAATAAATAAAGTCTTTTAAAAATTAATTAGCAAATTCCGGCATTTGCCGAAGGAAAGAGGTCTCTGTAAGCAGGGATGAGAGAAGACCAGGGAAGGCCAGGGAGCTTGGACTTTGACCAGGGCAGGGGCTGGCGGTGGTCGGCAGCCCAGGGGGGTGGAGTGTGTACAGCAGCATCCCCAACCTCAGACTGCCCCAGCTCATAGCCCAGCAGCCTGTGGACACAGCAGACGGGCAGGGGGCTGGAGCCCTCTCCTTCCCTCCCTCCCAGACCCAGGCTCCAGGGGCAGGAGGCAGTGCAGAAGCCCATGTCCTGGCCTCCAGGAGGGCAGGCTCGCATCGCATCGCCTGACTCTGCTAAAGTGGTCTCATTAGTAGCCTAAATAATTCACTCACCGATCTCTCAAGGAGCATTAGAAGAAAAACAAAACCTGACCCAGACCTCGAGCTCAGGTTCCCACTGCGGAGAAGGCAGGTCAGGAGGCTGGTGAGCGGCCCTGAGAGGCAGATGTAAGGGGTGGCCGCCTTCAAAGGCTCACCGGGGCTGGCCACCTTCCCAAAACAGCATGGGGCCTGGCTCCGTACAGCCCTCCAGCTAAGAATAGCTTTTACATTTTTAAAAGTTTTTTAAAAACAAAAACAATCCTGGCTGGTGTAGCTCAGTGGATTGAGCATGGGCTGTGAACCAAAGTGTTGCAGGTTTGATTCCCAGTCAGGACACATGCCTGGGTTGCAGGCCATGGCCCCCAGCAACCGCACATTGATGTTTCTCTCTCTCTCTCTTCCCTCTCTAAAAATAAATAAAATCTTAAAAATAAAACAAAACAAAACAACACCGAAGAAAAATATACCAAAGAAACTGTACGCGTTGGGTGAAGCCTAAAATGTTTACCATTTGGCCCTTTCTAGAAAGTCCGCCAACCCCTTAACCTACTCCCAGCCTGGAAGGCGATGAGAACCTTTGACCTACTCCTTGACCACCCGGCCCGGGACCCCACTATGTGCTGAGATTCACAGTTGTCAGAACTCTAGTTCTGAGAAAGAGCTCTAGTCTGGTGAGAAGCTGGCACCATTGTTCCCCCCATTGCCCCAGACAGAACAAAACAAACACAAGAAGAGATGCCCTGGGGGGTGGGGGGTGAATAGTTTTGGTTCTCCTGCAGGGGGTGGGGAGGAAGGGGAGAGAGAGAGAGAGAGAGAGAAAGAGAGAGAGGGAGAGAGAGATAGGGAGAGAGAGACTCGGCCCCAGCCCTTGGTCTGAGGGTCAGAATTCAGCATTGTTCAGGCTGGTCTGGTCTCCCTAACTCCCCTCCCTCACGCCCCCCCCACAACTCCCGCAGTCCTGGCCGTCCCAGCTGATCCCAGCTGCCACCCAGGCTTCAGTTCTCTTACTGATGACATACTCGAGCAGCCCATGTCTCTGGGTCCCTGGAGCCTGGGTGGCAGCCCAACCGGGCCAACCCTCAGCCCCGGACAGAGGTTCCACCCAGCCCAGCAGGACCTCTGAAGGGCTGACCAGCCTGGACCCTGCCCAGACCCTCTCTTAGAGCCAGAGCCTCTGAGAGTGACAGCCAAAGGACTCTGGAAGGGATGGGTCAGAGCGGGCAATGGGGCTGCCGGCTCAGAGTGTCCTGGCTGTCACTGTGCCGAGTGACCTCTGGGCTGTCACGGGCCCTGTCTGGAATTTCGGGAGCTGAGGGCACAGTGGCGATCTAGTGGCCCCACATCCTGGCGTGTAGGAATTCAGTTTTATTTCAGATGGGACAGCAGGGACCTCGCTCGGTAAAAGTTCCTGCCCTAGGCTCTCCCGAGAAAAATATTGCGGCTGAGCAGCCAGTTCTTTGAAGGTTCCTGTTCTTGAGACAAAAGCAGCAAGGAAGGCCCAGGTTAAATTCCCACTTGCAGGCTAAGTGGGAAGGTCAGCGGAGGTCCAGGCTGTGAGGCCTCGGGCGAGCCTCCTCTCCTCTCTGGGACTTGTCCTCATCTGTCCAAACAAGCAAACAAAAGCTCAAGGTGTTTGGATGGCGGCCGAGTGAAGGTCCTGTCCATCCTCTACCCAAGGAACGGCCCAGAAACCAGGGGCGCCCCTGCAGAAGCTTCGCTGGCCAGTCTGGCTCCATCTCCACCTTTTGTCCCCAAGTCAAGCCAAAGGAGGTACAGCCAGGCTGGCGTGGGGGTGAATGTCTTCCTCCAGCACGTCAGCGGCTTGCTGGGGATTTGGGCTTATGTGAACGAGGGGAGTCGTGGGTGGCGAACATGACCTCTGGCCTCTGTGCCCTGTGGCCAGGGGTGGCTGGAGAGCTGTGGGAATATCATCCCCAAACCCCCACATGCCCACAGGCCATGACCTGGAAGCCACAGTCTGGCACCACACGCTTTAGTCTAAATGATCTAGATTGTCGTCCGTCAACTCTCCAGCTTGACTGGCCATCCCTTGAAGGCAGGCCTTGTACCTTGACCTTCATCTGTGTGCCCAGGGAGAGCCCAGCACAACACTAGGTATGTGGCTGGAGATGTGTCCACATCCTCTCAGCAGCTTAGCTGAAATGCCCCTGGAGAAAGTGACGCTGTGTGTGGCACGGGGTGCGTGTCCAGGCAGGGGAACCTCCACGTTTGCTGGCCGATAACTGGACACCATGCTTCAGTCCACAGACCAGTCAAGCTGTCCTGCCCATGCGGTGACCCCAACACCTATTGTGTCACCTAGAAAGTAAGCAGGGGCGGGGTGAGGGGAAGGTTAAAGAAGGGAAATGGATACCCCCAGGACATGCAGGCTGTGGAGAGGTCGTGGCCACCGTCCCTTCCCCCTGTGAAGTCCAGCCTGGAGGAACGTGGCCAGGCGGCCCTGGAAAACATAAATCGGCCTTGTCTCACCACAATGGGCTTCAGGTTAGTTACCAAAACTGCAAGCACAGTGATCCGCAGCCTACAAACCCAAACCTATGAAGTAATGACAAATGTCAGCAGCTCAGTGGAGGGGGCTGCCCTCTCTTCTGGTCTTCAGTATACTCGGCACAGCTGTCTCTCCTGCCCGCCTGCAGACAGGAAGCTCTCCTATATGCCCAGCCACTCTCCTTCTTGCTGTGGCTCCCTCTCTGTCCTGAGCTCTCCGAAAATGCTGCTTTCTACAGAACCCCGAAGCCGGCCTTTCTTTTCGTTTGTTTGCTTGCCTGCACGTTTGCTGTGTGTGGTGGTGGCGAGGGAAGGCAGGGCAGAGCTCTGGCTTGTCCCACAGTGACACCATGTGTACAAATGGCGATGACAGAGGTATGCAACTAATTATCCGTGACACACGTGGACTTGCTGACACATTTGATAAAATTTTAATTGCCCCTTGTTCTGCGGGCCAGGCAGCAAATCTCCCGGGCCTGGCAGTCGGACTAGAGGAAGGCAGGGGTGAACTGCAGGGAGCTGGGAATCCTGGGAGTGTGGGGCGGGGCCTGTGGCAGGGGTGGGCGGGCAGAGGGGCTACTAGAGCCGCCTCTGAGTTATCTCAATAATTGCCTCAATTCTCTACTTTGTTCTTACTGACCTGACACTTTCCGGGAGGCAAACTCACTCCAGGCAGGGAGGAAACTTGGACACATGCCGTGCCAGGAAATTTGCCCGCAAGGACGCACGCATTTCAAATCCAGAGGCCCTGACTCCAGGCCCCAGCGTCCAGACAGAGCTGGGGGCCTGTCCGGAAATGCGCCCACGCGGCTCCTGATCTCACTGACATTGCCCAGGGCTCCTGCGCGCCCTTTTCCATCCCGGGTGAAGGGGAGCAGGAGGGGCTGAAGTGGCCACCCCTGGGTACCTTGGTGGTTTTGACTCTGTGTCCGCTGCTGCAGCTCCACCCCGACAGGTCCGGGAGCACTTTGCACTCCTCCCCGGGCAAGCAGGGCTCCATCTGGCACCACCACCTCTGCAGGACGATGGAGGCTGCGGGCGCAGAGCGCACGGAGGGCCGCGCTAAGCTCTCTGGGAGCACCGCGCGCATGAGCAGTCAAGGGGTCAGGGGAGAGGTCCGTGCGGAACGAAGTGCACGTTTCTGCACATCCCTGGCTTCTCAGAGCCCTGCAGCTCCCTGTCCTTCCCCCACCTCGGGCTGCCCAGAAAGGCCCGGACACACAGCCGTATCAACCTCAATCCCACTGACCCCTACATCTCACCAGAGACAGCACAGGGCGAAGGCCGGGGACATGGCGCCTACAGTGACCCTCGAGATGAGTCACTCGAGGGTGACCGTCCAGAGCAGAGAGGCACCGTCCCAGCACACCCTGGGTATTGTGAGCAAGAGTGCGACCCGTTTGGGAGGGTCCACAGAGCAGTGGTGCACAGGGAGGCAGGCACGTTGACAGCGCTGCCACGTGAGTGTGAGAAAATGAGCGGGGGGGGGGGGGAGGCGTGGGAAAGGGGGTGGGAGCGAGGGGATGCACAGGCCAGAGACTCACACGTGCCTGTGTGACGGGAGGCAGAGGCTGGCGGGAGAACGAGAGGAGGGCCTGCGGAGGAGGGCTGGGAGGGTGGGGAAGGGCAGAAGGCCATGTCTGCGGGAGTGAGTCCGACACGAGGTGAGGTGTGAGGGGATCGGGGTGCGGGGACCCTCTGTGTGCATGCCGGGCAGTGGCGCCGGCCAGAGGGCGGCCCCGGTGTGCTTCCCTCCTCTATGAAATGCGACGGTCACGTCTGCCCTCCCCAGAGGTTGCCCCATCATCTGAGAGCTGACGGGGAAGCCCTGAGATGGGTAGGGAATTGTATCCTCAGCAGATGGTGCGGCCGAGACAGACCTTCTTATCTCTCTGATCAGGCCCTCCCTGCCAGGTCCCGGCCTCTCACTCACCGTCCACGCAGGAGGGCTTTGCCCGGGTGGTGCCAGCCACCTGGCCAGAGGAGCAGGAGCACTTGACAGTCTGGGAGCGTTCCTCAATGCGGTTCCGGTTGCAGCAGCGATGAGAAGCTGTCACCTCGCAGGTGCCCTGCTTCACGGGGACTGCAGGGGCCAGCGCAGAATCAGACGCCAGGCTGGGCCTGCAACCCGGCTCCCCCGCCCCCCACCTCCGGACTCCTCCAGCCCCTCCTCCCAGCTTAGGGGAGGAGAGAACAGAGGAAATCGTCCCGCTGCTTCAGTGTGAGGCCACTCAGGCCCTTTGGCAGAGCCTGGCCCTGGGCAGAAGAAAGATGAAGTTCCACGCCAGCCCACACCTCCCAGCCTCCTCCAGGAGGGCAAGGGCCCCAGGGCGTACAATGCGTGGGAAGGATCATCCGCTTACACAGGCTTTAGCCGACCCAAAGGGAAAACCACAGAATTAGGCCAGAGGCTAGACTTAAGCCCCCATGGCCGGCTGGGCAGGACGGTGGGGGGCAGGGGAGTGGCTCTCTCCTTGCAGAACACCTTCCAGGGCCGCAAGGGAAGGTGGGCAATGGCTCTGCCCACCCCTCCTCAGGGCTGGGACAGCAGAGGGGGCAGAGTTTCCCGGGTGAAGAAGAGGAGCAGCCAGAACCCCCGGGATCTAGGGATCTGACTCCACCTCAGAGATCTGCCTGCTGTGGGATGGGATGGGGGGTGTCCAGCTCCCCAGGAATCCTGGGAAAGCCCCTCCCCAGGCCCTGCCACCTCCCCCAAACCTGTGGCAGTAAGAGACTGCAAGGAAGCCGAGGCCAGGAGGGTGCACAGCCCGGCGAGGCAGAGTGCCAGCAGCCAGCCGCCTGTGCTCCAGTTCCACGCGGCGCTCTCACGCATCCTGCAGAGAGAAGCGCACCCCTCGCTCGACCCCTCGAAGGAGCCCCTCAGCGCGCAGCCCCAGCGCCTCTGTGCCGGGTGCCTGGGAGGCACAGAGGTGGGCAGTGCACACCTCGTTCCCAGGCATTCTCAGCCTGGCCCAAACTCACTGTAGAAAGCAGTGACCGCCTTCCTAGCAGGAAAGAGAGCAGGAAGGCAGACCATCCTGCTGTGAAGCTTTGTGGAGGTGACAGTTAGGAGGGGTCTTGAAGGAGGAGCCAGGCGTGGTGCCACAGATGGCTGTGACACGGGAGGGACACTAACGCTGACTCCCATTTTTAGAGCGCTTGACCCAGGCAGTTCAGAACAGTTTGGACTCCTTCACGGCTGCCCCACAACAAAGTAGAATTTTTTTTGTACCTATTTTACAGATGAGCAAAGTGATACTCAGTAAGCCCGGACACAACCTAAAGAACCATCAGTGAAGGACTGGCTAAATATATTGGGGAGCATCTGTACAAATGCAGTCCCGTCCAGGCATCTGTGAAAAAGAATGAGACACTTTATGTGCCGGGGCACTGACAATAGCCCACCAGTGAGGGGGGGAAGCGAAGTGCAGGATGGCGTGTACGAACTGTGTAGCCCTGGCCCTGGCTGGCGGTTGAGGCATCATCATGGACACTAAGAGGTTTCAGGTTCGATCCCGGGTCGGGGCACAAACCTAGGTTGCAGGTTTGACCCCCGGTTGGGGCGCATGCGGGGACAACTGATCCATGCTGCCCTCACATTGATGTCTCTCTCTCCCCGCCCCTCTCTCCCTTCCTTTCCCTCTAAAATCAATTTCAAAACATATCCTCGATGACGGTTGTACAAAATTCTCTGAATATACTACAAAACATTTCATTGTACACTTAAAATATATTAACTGCATAGTATGTACATTGTATCTTGATAAAGCTGTTATTTTAAAAATTAAAAAAAAATCCTCAGGTGAGGATTGAAGAAAAAACCCATAAGATGTATAAAAGGGAGGGACAACATGCGTTCCTCAAGTATGTGAAAGCTAGCTCTGGAAATGCACAAAAATATCCCAATAACGCAGGTTGCCACCAAGAAGGGGAAATGTTTGGCTGGGAGGTAAAAGGAAGAGAGAGAATTATTTTTGTCCCTGTCACTCTTTCACATTTTGGGTTTTGAGCAGTGGGAATGTCCTAGCAATTCAACTTAAACACATTTAAATTTAAAAAGGAAGAAATGAAACCAAGGCTAATAGAAGTCAGATGACTTGCCCACGGCCAGGCAGGTGTGGGCAGCAGAGGTCGGCAGTCTGCTACGTTCCCACTGGCCTCCTCCCTGCCCCTTCCCCTCCCCCACCTGCAACGGTTCGCCCTCCCAAATCCACCCCAGGGGATGGGCTAGACATGCAGGGAATCCCAGGGAAGCAGAGGCACAGAGCAGCTGGGGGCCGCTCTGGGGCATCGCTGGGCTCCCGCAGGTGCCAGCACAGTGCTGGGAACTCCAGAGGCCAACCCAAATGCCGGGACTCGGCCGCTCCCTTGGGTAGGGTGCTGGATCTCTGTCCCCCCCACCTTCTCCCCATCTTCAGCTGTCTCCTCACTCACCTTTTGGGGGATTTCTCAGCTTCTGCCTGTTCATCCACTGGCCTCAGACTCACTCTACCTAGACAAGTAGGAAAAATTCATGGGGGCCTGCAAAGGACAAAGGGGGCCCACGGGCCTGCAGGGGACAAAGGGGGGCCTGGGTGAGGGCAAGGGGGGTGGGCTGAGCATTGAAGCAGAGCCCAATTCTGGGGCTGTTCCCCAAGGGGCCCGGGTGGGGGCGGTCTCTCCTCTGCCACGGGGTCCCCGCAGACTCTGGGAACTCTGAGGGTGTGGTGAGCCCAAGGAGCGCAGCTGAAGGAGTTTCTCTGTCCCAGGAGGAAAGCAGGCCCGAAGGCAGGAGGCATCTCAGAACCAACACCGTCTATCACCCACCTGGCCTTGGCCTTGGAAGGGAGCTGAAGGCCAGGGGTCCTGAGGCAAGCACCTGGGACGGGCCCCTGAGGTCCTGAATTCTCTTTGCCTCCATCCACCTCCCGCCTCCTCAACACCTGCTTCCTGGACTTGTCTGGAGAAGGCTGGACTCTGCCACCCTCACCCCGATGAACCCCGCTCCCAGCGGTCAGAATGGGAGTCCTCCGGCTCTCGAATCACAGAGGCCCTAACAGCTCCTCCGTTTTTTCCTAAGACCTCTCCTCCCTCAGCCTCCAAAGGCAGTAGGCCGAAGCAGAGAGGACGATGTGGCCCAGGAAGAGAGTCCAGACCTCTGTGTCCTAGGTCCCTAGGTCCCCAGAGAAGACCAAGGGGGCGGAGCGCGGAAGCGGTGCTGATGCCCGGGGAACGGGTGGCTCTGTGGGCAGGCAGCTCCCCACCCTTGCAGACGGACCTGACCCCTGACTCGGCATCTCCCCTCCCCATCCGGAACCTCCAGTCCCCATCCCGTTTCTCCCAAGAAGCCACGCCCTCCAACCCAACTCTCCTGTGAACCCCAGGACCCCAAAGGCCTGCGGAGGACATTTAGGCTGGTTTTTAGCATTCCGTTCCCTCCCTCAGAGCCGGCTGGAGAAAGAGGGTTTGGGGACTTGTTCTCCGGCTTTCACGCTCCTGACTCAGTTTTCCAACCTGTTTTCTCCCAACCAGTCCAGGTTACAGCGACTCCCAGTAGCAGCCGGCAAGCCAGCAGGGGGCTGAGGATGTGAACCGCAAGAACCTTTAACCTCTTCCTACCTCCCCTCGCCTCCACTCCAAATCCTGAGCCCCCACCCCTGGGACCTACCTGTCCCACGGCGGTGCCACTGGTCCCACCCGCCGGCCTGAGGTTGTCCTCGCCTCTGGGCCGAGACCAGCACTCCGAGAGCCCTCCGGCGGGAGCGCCCAGCTCTGGAGCAGTCTAGTCCGCAGCCCTGTGCCCCTCACCAAGTTGCTGCATCCCCGAGGCGGCGGGGCTCTGGCCAAACTGGCATCACGGTCATGTCGGGTCCCGCTCTGCGCAGGGGGGCAGTTCCGGGCGCACCCGGCCAGCTCGACAGAGCGCAGCCGGGGTCCCTCCGCGGCTCCCGCCCGCTGGCCCGGGAGCGCGCAGTCGCCGCTGGTGTCGGCCAGCTCCGCGCGGGCGCCGCCGCCTCCTCGGGACAGCGCGGCACGCCGAGCCCAGCGCTCCGTCCGGCGGCCGCAGCCGGACACAGCGGCCCCTGGCGGCCGAGGCAGGGCGAGGGACCAGAGGCCCTCCGGCGCCAGCGGTGGGGTAAGGGTGAACATCCCTCTGCGGGCCGGGGTCGCTCAGAGAGGTGAGAGGCCTTCAAAACTCACCAGGTACTGGGGCTTAGGAGGGCGGGGGACCAGGGTGTGAGGAGTGACTGCTCAGACTTTCAGGGGTTTTGAACCTTAAAGATTCTGGAAGTGCACGGTCTAATACAGTAGCCACTAACCGTTATGTGGTTGTAAAACATAAAAAGACATGAAATAAAATTAAAAAATTGAGGTTCTCCTTTGCACTCACTGCATTTCAAATGCTCAGTAGCCACATGTAGCTAGGGACTACTGTACTGGGCACAAAAGATAGAGAATACTCCCACCATTGCACAAAATTCTTCTCTACAACACTCACGTAGATTGATACATGAGCCCCCGGCTGTCAAAATGTCGAAATCCAGGAGGGAGAAGCAGATGGTCCCTACCTAGGAGTGGTGTCCTCAGGCGTGGGAAGGCCTAGGGGAGGGATGGAGGTAGAGAGGGGGCAGGCAGGAGGCTGCAGCAGGTAGGTCCCCAAGGATGAGGGGTGTGAACACCAACTTGGGAACCAGACTCTGAGACAGAGTTTCCTCTTCACAAAAACGGCAATATAATTGCAATTTTATAATTGTTTATAGGGTGAAATTTTGGATATGCGGGTATTAGACAAATGGAAGAAGGAGGTGGTGTGTGAATTTGTCTATTGAGAAGAGGGACAACCCTCTTAGGTTAAGAGGGCTTGGGGTGAGGTCATGGGGAGGGGACTGGCAGGGGAAGGAGCCCAGTTCTGAGCTCCAAGCCACTGGGTACAGGGCCCTGTCTTGAGAATGCCCAGTCCCCTCCCTACCCGAGGCCCTAGCACCGAGTTTCATTTCTTTCTCTCTTTCTCTCTCTCTTTCTTTCTTTCTTTCTTTCTTTCTTTCTTTCTTTCTTTCTTTCTTTCTTTCTTTCTTTCTTTCTTTCTTTCTTTCTTCCTTCCTTCCTTCCTTCCTTCCTTCCTTCCTTCCTTCCCTCCTTCCTTCCTTTCATGATTTTTTAGAGATAGAGAGGAAGGAAGGGAGAAAAAGAGGGAGAGAAACATCAGTATGTGGTTGCCTCTCGCACGCCCCCTACTGGGGACCTGGCCTGCAACCCAGGCCTGTGCCCTGACTGGGAATCCAACAGGCAACCCTTGGGTCAGCAGGCCCATAGGCCTGCAGGCTGGAGCTCAGCCCACTGAGCCACACCAGCCAGGGCCTGGGTCTCATTTCTAAGCAGAGGAGAGTATCTCACAAGTCTGTTTCTTCCTACCACCCCACACTTTTTTTCCTTTTCATTCTCTGCTGCTTCAGGGAGGAGCAGAGGTGGCGGCCTTCTCACCAGGTTCTGGGGCGGTCTGAGGATGAGGTGTGATGATGCCAGAACAGGAGGTGAGAAATTCAGGGAGGAGAGAGCCAGCAGGCTGTTCTGGAGCCCGAGAGAGCTGTTGACATCCCTGCTGACCATCTGGTGCTGGAACTAGGTGTCTCTGGGCCCTGGCCCTGTGGCCCACTTGCAGCTACACCCTGCTGGGTGCTGCAAAGAGCAGGGATTAGGGAGCTGGGCAGCACAGAGAAGTGGTAAGCAAACTGTCCCAGAAACACTGAATAATAAAAATAGCCAGGCTGTTACATTTTTTCTTAAGTCTCTGGCTTGCTGCTGCTGTTTATGCCATTATTCTGAGCATTGCTTCTAGTTTTTCTCAAACAGAAAGGAAATACCCATAGCACCAGCATGTTTTTTTAATCCACCTATGACATTCTGGGTGCCTTTGGACTGATCTGTGTGTATGCGTGTGTGTGTGTGACTTCCTTTCCTTTGGCTCTCTCTGCTCAGAGTGCAGGCATAATCACAAAAAGTTAAAAAAACTGAATGATCATCGTGAGATTTTTATTTGGAAGCTGCCAGGAAACACCCTTGGGGGGGGCACTGTTTAGCCCCTGCACAGAGAGTCTTATGGTCAGGAAGCATGCTGACTCCAAAGTCTAGAGGTGGAGTCCCTACCATGAGCTGGGTGCTACCACTGACTTGCATTAGGGCCATTTGTGCCCATTTGTGCTGTGGGTGGGGTAGCAGGCATCTCTGGAGGCCTAGTAATCAATTCCCATCCCAAAGTCCCCTTCCCGGCAGGAAGCTTAACCTGGCCTCTGCCTCCCCCTGGCGGCAGACACGGAACTTGTTCAGCATCCCCAGGCTGCAGCCTCTGTCTTAAGAGGAGGGAGGGCGGGAGAGGAGGAACCCCGACTCTTCTCTCTACCACCCACCTCCCTCTTAACCCTTTCTCCCTGATCTCGACAAATCAGCTTGGCTCTTGCTTTTGGGCGTCCAAGGACTGCCATGGGTGTGAATATTAGATTGGCTGTGTGACCTCTTAGGGTAAGTCATATAAAATGACAGGAGCATCATCGGTAAAAAGAAACAAAGTAAAAACCTACTTTGAAGGGTTGGTATGTAGTATAAATGGACTAATATATGGAAAGTACTTCGCAGAGGGCCTCCTAAGTAGTAAGTCCTCCAAATGGTAGTTATTGTTGTTATCCTTACTAACTAGTACTGCCACTGTCAGGGAAGGTCTAACTGCGGGGGAAATCGGGTGCTGAGAAGGAAAGTGGAGCAGGAACGGCAACCGCTCTCCCAGATCGAGGTGGTCTTCACGGAGCCCGGGAACTTGCAGCTCCCGAGTCCAGCATGATCGCGGCTCCAGACCCCACCACACCCAGCTCCAGCTCGCTCGCCCTCACTCTCACTCCAGCCGCCCCAGCCAGAGGTGTTGTCACAGCAGGTGACTCACACCTGGTGGTCCCGAAGCGGCTGGCTTCGCTCGAGGTCGTCAGCGCCGTCACCCTTCGGGCAGACAGGCCACAGCGAACCGAGGGCAAGGAGACACCACCCTCCCGTCACAATGGGGAGGTTCTACTGGTGTCTAATCTAGAGCACGGCTAAAATAGGGTTTCCTTCCCTCCGTCCCCGCACCACCACAGCGGTCCGATCCTTCCCGAAAGAAACGGGGGCGGGGCTAAGGCGGAACGGGGAGGGAAGAGGCTTTGAGCCGAGGAGGCGGTTCCGGGGTGGCCCACAGCAGGAGGAAGCTCTGCCAGGAACCCGCCCTGCCCGCCGGGAGCCAATGGCAGAGGGTAGCGGGCGGGAGCGAGCCCCGCCCACCGCGAGCCCTAGGGGGCGGGCTCAAGGCCGAGGGCGGGGCAGGGTGGCAGCATGCTAAACCGGGTGCGCTCAGCCGTGGCGCACCTGGTGAGCTCCGGGGGCGCCCCGCCCCCGCGCCCCAAGTCTCCCGACCAGCCCAACGCGACCTCGGCGCTGCCCGCCGCCCCTGCAGAAGCGCCCAAGAGCCCTCCGGCGAAGGCTGGGGGCGGGAGCGCGGCACCCGCAAAGACAGCAGAGGCTCGAGCGAGCTTCTCCCGACCGACCTTTCTGCAGCTGAGTCCGGGGGGGCTGCGTCGCGCCGATGACCACGCCGGCCGGGCTGTGCAAAGTCCCCCGGACACCGGCCGTCGCCTGCCCTGGAGCACGGGCTACGCCGAGTGAGCGTCCCTGGGGTCCCCGTAATTAGGATGGGAGCCCCACCCCCACCCCCTCCCCACCTCAGCATCCCTGGAGCTGGGGTGGTCCCCCTCGTTGCGCTCGGTGCCAGCAGCTCTCTTCTCCCAGACCCCTCGCTATCCTCTGGGCTGCGGGCCGCACCTCCTCCCAGCCCTTTCCCCAGTCGGTGCAGCCTTCCTCAGGACCTTCCAGGTCGTTGACTACGCTCGCTCGTGCCGCCTCAGGGACCTTGTTCCCTCCCGGAGCCCAGAGTGTGTAGGGCCCCCCATAGGATGAGTTGACCCTTTCTCAGTCTCGGCCCAGCAGTTTAATGGCTATCGTAGGAAGAGTTTCAAGGAGCGGGGGGCTCTTTTAATAGAGGAGATGGCGGCTTGGGAGACTCGGTCCCGGACTTCCCGACCACCGCGCCCCAGTTCCTTGTCCTCTTATCGTTCCCCTCCCCCTCCACACCCAGAAATAGCCCGCGACACCTGGCGGCCGCTGGCTTCTCCTGGGGCGGGGACGGGGGTCACCCGGGGAAGCGGAGGGCCCCCTTTGAACGCCCCTCCGCGGGCAGACTTGCGCTGGCCAGGCAAGGAAGTGGACCTCGGGTGGAAGCAGCCCGCTTGCTCCCAGGCGGCCCGTGCTGGGAAAGCGGAGCGCTCCGGGAGATGGGGGTGCTGATGTCGCCGAGGGTGGTGGCTGACGGACCCGTGGCCCCACCACCATCTCTTTAGCTTCCTGTTTTGGAAGAGTTGGTGGTTACCGGACTCCTGCACAGTCCAGGTGGGCTTCACTCCTACCCTATTTCTATTCCTCTTTCCGGATCTGGGCTGGAGCACTTCCTCGTTGCCAAAGCGTGGAAACTTTCACTAGGTGGTTTTAGGTTAAGGGTGGGGTGTGCCTATGAGGGCGCTGTGCTGTGGACGAGGCGCTAGGAGAATTGATTGGGTTTCAGGGTGGGAGATGGGGTCTTGACAAGCGAGGAAGTAAAACCTCATGCCCCCAACAGGCCTGCAACACCGTTAGGGATGCCCACTTAGCCAGTGATGGGGACCTGAGGCAGGCAGGTGCTGTTGCTGGCCTTTCTACTAGGTGGTGGGGCCTGACACCCAGACAGAACTCCCTGTGCCTTGCCCTGCCTCCCAGCTCCTCCTCACTCTGGCCTGGATCCCAGGTGGCTATGACCTTTCTCAGCTTGGCCAGCAGGCCGGAGAGAGTGTGTATGTCTAAGATGGGGGTTATTCCAGGGCCCAGTCTGGTGTCCAACCTGATGTGGTCACTCTGGCCTGGCAGGGTC